TCTAGGGATGGGAAATATGAAAAGCTTCAATACTTTTATGAACTCGTCTTCTAATTGCCTAAAGTATTTAACTGTATCTTATTAAAATAACTATAATAATATGGAATATCTCCCCTTACTCAGGTTTCTACTTGTTTATTTTTCTAAGTCATCTATTCTTGATAACCTATATGCACTTTTTGTCAGGTGTAGTGTTTCTTGAAAATGAAATAATGTGCATGCTTTGCTTCAGCAGTCCTCAATTATAAACACATGCCAATGTCCTGCTTGAATAAATGTCATTGTTCATATACTGTGGAACTTGACTTCACATCAACTCTCAAATTTTCTTAACATGTTTCCTAAATGGGGAGAAATTCCTAACATTTGCATTGTAAGTCAGAGAACAATGAATTATGTATTGGTTCCTGAGCTGTGAATGCCCAAAGTTTGTGAAAATATATGAGGTCAGGATTATAAGACTGTCATTTAAATTGTATGACTTTCTAGTCAAACCAACACTCTCTCTTCCTTTCTTTTTTCTTTTTTTCTTCCTCAATATTCATACATACATTTTTTTTCAGTCACAATTTAGCCATAATATGAGGTTATAAGCAAAAAAGTATCTGTTTATGTGAAAAAAGAATGCTCTTGCTATGCTCACTGGCCCATTTGTGGCTTCAAATATTCTTATCTTCCATGGCTTTACATTGGCAGTGTTGCTTAGTGCATACTTATCTCCCCCTTCATTTTCTGCAGTCTTTATCACAGCTTTCCCAGCTTTGCATAAGAGAGACGTAGGTCTGCTGCATTATTCAGTTCATATATTTCTTTTGGGGATACATGGTGTGACATGCTATATGATGTGTCATATTGCATGTTTTTAATAATCATTCTGTTATATATTACTGTGATTTATAGTTGAAATCAGTGGGGTCAAGATTTCACCATAAAAATCTGCTAATTTGTTTTAGGAATGAAAATTATTGCTAAAAAATTCACCAAGTCTCTCTCTGTGTAACAGAAGTATTTTAGTAATTTTTACTTTCAGCCTTTGTTGACAGTAGCATTTCAAGTAGAATTAAATTATTTGTTACATACTTTAATGGTGGAATGCATTTTCTCCATGTGGTACAGTAACTCTTCTTCAATGGCAGGACTCTTTTTAAAGTGGAATATTAAAAATTTTTACTGAACAATAATGAAAAATACTCCTCCATGTACTTTCTTTGAGAGATATTTGTAGCTAAATCCTCCATACACAAGACATTTATGCACAATTGCACGTATATGAACAACTCCATATAACTGAGCTTAGAACTATTAAAAATAATTTTTTATCTTTTCTACAACAAATAATTTTGTGTTCTTAAAAAATTACCTGATGAAGTCAGTGGTTGTCAACTGCTTTTTTGTGACATAAAATTCTGTCAATTGAAAATGATGATGCCCCCATTGTCAGAAACACATAACTGGTGACAGGTGTTGGTTGTTTTCATTAAGTCTATTGTGCATCCTCCCGTGGTAAGGCAAGCAGGTTTGGTTACCAGGGTCTAATGTGCTTCAGTAGAAACATCAGAAGAGAAGAGGCATATTACAAGGGAGAAGAGGCAGGACTAGGTGTGGATGTATTGCACACTAGCCCTCGGTAGTTTTACATAATACTCGGGGTTAAGAAAGAGAGTAAGATAATTTGTTAAGGAACTGTGACACTCAGCAATATTAAATTTCTAAGCTTTGAAATAACATAGCTTACAACATTCAGTATCTCACTTTCTGGTAAAGCAAAAAAATAGTTCTTGTATATGGAAGAAGAAGGGGGGTAATTTCCATTTCTAAGTAGCTAAACCATCTCTTTATATGTAGTGTATATTACCATATATGTTATATATAAAATTTGCTTTATACAAAAATTTATTAAGGCTTATGTATGAATGTTGTGCATTCTGAAAATTCAAGAACCATTTTGAAGGGAGAATTGGAAAAAAATCATATTTCATGTCAAGGAAACAAATGAATTAAATAATAATAGTTAAAAAACAGATTCATGATTGTCATGGATGAATGTCCAATGCATTTATCAAATGGCTTTGCATATGAGTCACAGTTTCCACAAATATATATTTTTTACAGATATGTGTAGCTCCTTAAGTGTACCTATTAATTGCAAACACTGGAGTACATCTGTTCTCATTTTACAATGATTTTCTTAATGTGTATTAGAAAAAGATAACTTTTTAAAGATAAGATTAAATCTGAGAAACTGAGGTGAAAAATTATTTAAGTCTTCGAGAGACAGATGATATCTGTCTTTTAGGAACTGAAGAGAGAATTGAACAGACAGAAGTTTCAGTAGAACATCTGAAAATATCTCCATGAATGAAAGTACAAAAGATTGGTATTGTTTGTCCCTTTCACATACCCACATCCTTATTTTAATTAACTTGCTCATATAAATACAGCAAGATTGTTGTATTTTTTTAAATAACTCTTTACTGAATATGTCAACAAGATAATATATAGTGTATAGTGAGGTTTTGAAGTTAACAATGCGTGCAACATGGCAGATTGCAGAAAACAGATAACGCAGACTTCAAACCATCTATTTTTCCATGTTAAAGATAGAAAGTATAGCAAACACAGAACAGAATCAAGTGTGCATATCTCCGTTAAAATCAATTTTATGAAAGATCATCTTCAGATATTTGGGATCAACTCATGATAACAATTTGTTTAGTAGCTTATCTTTTTCTGAGAGGATCAGAATTCAGCTCTCATGAGACACATTTTCACAGAGCCCCAGAGCAATAAAATGCTGCCAAATCTCTTCTGTGCTAGTTTTCCATATGGACTACTAGCCAGAGTCCTTTTAAAGAGCAAAACATTCTCTGCTGTACAAAAATTTAATGCCAAATGCTTCAATATTGCCTGCAGTATCATCTGGGATACCAAGTGCCCTGTTTGATAGAGTTCAGGGAAGGAGTGATCATCAGCTTCCTAGGATTATCTCTGTGTTTAGAAGAGAGCATCAGGCAGGATTTGATGAGGTTCAGAGCCAGTAACTTTTGGTTTTGGCACTCACTTCTGTTTTGTTTTTCCACTGAGCTGTAAAGATAAGTCATGTGTAAAACCATTGTTCTCATGTTCTAAATAAAAAAACTTTAATATCTCCATGTTAAATTTAAGGTGAAGAAGTACTATAAATGTAGACTTCAATGGGAATTAACCACTTTACTGTCAAAAGCTGAGACTGAACTTTTACTTCAATGCCATTAATAAAGTGCCTTAAATAGACCCTTAAAACAATATCAATATGCATAAAGTTATTTTGTTTGCAAAATTGAAATTAATAAATTTTCAGAGAGAGAAATTTGCTCTTATGAAAAAAAGAAAACTATTCAGAGAAAAATATAGTTGAACTACTCTAATAACAAATATCATATGCTAATTCATTTTTCTGTTTTACATGATATTCACTGTAGTCCTTTATTGGCATATAGGGAAAACTGCTAATATCTTTTCAATTCAAAGTAGCTTATTCCCTAAATATTCTTACAAAGAAACTCAGTAATAATGTTCCAATAAGAACCTGTTAACACAAAGTCCATGCATTAATCAGGTGTTTGTGCCAGCAAGCCATACACAAGGAACACTTGTTAAAGTGACAGAATCCGTGAAAATAGGGACAAGTTTGTAAATAAATATGCCTTCAGAAGAACCCTAAGTACTGGGAACAGCAGTGTGATGCATCTTTAACACAACTGCATATTTTATTCTACTCACCAATCTTTCTGCACATCTATGTCTACTATTAGCAGTATACAATGGAAGATGGGTGAAATTTTGTCTGAAAAAATTAATTTGTCCCCAGATCCAATGAACTTGATCAAATCAGGACTTAAAAGTGAACATTTCCAGTGAGTTGTACATATTCATATTTGGCACTTCTGCTCAATAGCTTTTCATTATTATTTGTGGTCAGGTATTCGTCCTAAGTGAAGATCGCCCCAACGTTTACAATGCCCAAGGAAAAGGCTACTAATCTTAACCTTTATATTGCCAAAAGATCATTGTCCATTTTTAACTCTTTTTATACATACTTTACCTTGTGAAATTTGTTCACTAAGTGCTTATCTAGGTGGGAACTAAAATGAAATCTCAGACGTTTCTGTGACAGGCACTTTGGGAAGTCCCAAATTCTGTTTTAAGTTGAAATATATTACCTGTTTTGGAGCTAAGGAACAATTAAATTGGGAGAAACATTCTGCAAATGACACATATGATCCTTCAGTTGACTACAGCTCTGAATTTTTTTAGATAATATTCCAAGCTCTATCCACAAATTTTGGTATAAGGTGCTTACTATGATTTTTTCAAGAGTATATAGTAAAGAAACTTTTCTCAGTACCCATACAAATTCATATATTTTTCTTCTTACTGAGAGGAAGCATAAAATATGCTGTCTTTAATATCATTGTGATTTTTGATCTAGGTAAGCAAGTCATAGTCTACATATATATATATATATATTATATATATATATATGTGTGTGTGTGTGTGTGTGTGTGTGTTTTATCATTAAAGATCAAAACAAACAGTTTGTGAATATATTCTGTTTTCACCCTATTCAATAAGTAACCAGATTTCTTGTCATCAGGTTGGGCTTGTGGATCATTCACCTGCAGTACAGGCCAAATTCCCTGAATAAGCCAATTGCTACAAATAAAGTGCCTATGGTTTACTGAGGTCTAGAACAGAAGACTCCCCCTGCATCAGTCATTGAAGTACAAAATACTAGTAAGCATGTACTTTCAAAGGAGGCCTTTTGAAACCGAATGTACAACCAATTGTTTCATTGAAATTAAATACTATGTCCACACCCAATGGGAATCCCTGGCTCTGCTTAACTTCAAGCAAACTCCAGCATGCAACAGAAGCCTGTGCAGAAGCACAACTATTATCTGCTTGTCTTTTGAGTTGGGGCACCTAAAATATGTCAAACAAAACAAACAAACAAACAAAAAACCCCAAAAACCGACTAAAACAAAAAACCAAAGCCCAAAAGTATCAACCTTATCATCAGTAAATAGATTGCAGAAAAAAAACCTCTGCTTTGCATAGACTTTCTAACTAGAATTATGCCATTTGAAATCATATGGTAAACTTTTACTCAGCAAAATTTTAGTGAGATGACTATTACAATAGCCACACAGGTTGTTTAGGATATCTGCTATAGCTGGAGAAAATAGCAAATATACAGAATATAGAGTGGAATTTCAAAATGTGATTTTATAAGGTGCTGGTGGGAGGATGTGATTCCTTACAAAATGGTTGTACTTTGCCATCAATCATAACGAGGATCATTTTGTCATTGCAGAAAATTAGTATTATCATGTGATCTGAGTTGCAGAATATACATACTCATAGACTGCTGAGTTTCAAGAATGGGTTGAGTGACATGAGCGAAGGAAAGGATTAAAAACCTCTCTTCCAACATAAGGAGCTTCATAAAGTGAAAAGTCTAAGTATTCCACTGTGAAAGTGCTTCAGCCTTTACTTCTAATGCACATGCAGCAACTTTCTGTGTATTCCTAGGTGATAACTGTAAAATTTTCTCTCTTTGGTTCCCTACTACCTCAGGGAAGTTTTGTCTCTTTTTTTTTGCTTTTTTTTTGCTTTTTTTTTTTTCAATGTGATGTAGCTTTAGCTTGTCCCCAAACTCAGAAGAAAATTCACTACATTAAAAAAGCAAACTGAAAAACCCCCAAATAATTAGATTTCACCACAGTTCTTGGCAGTCATTGAGTTAGCAGAGTGGTTGAAATATTACATAATTTTGAGAGCTGCATTATGGTTTGAATACAAGCATGATGTTTTGCATAGTGCATGTAAAGCTCAAGGACTGAGAAAGTATTGCAGCTGAAGAATCTGAGGGTATAAAAAATCAAATTCTAAACCCGCCTACTGGTTGTGAGCAGAAATCATTATGGAAAACTCAAAAATGCTTAAGGAAAAGAAGGGTAATTCAGAAGGAGATTGTGTACCTGTGTTCTCAAAATTCCCCAGTCAATCAAATGCTTAGCTAATGTCAGTCTCTGTATACTTTAATTGGGAAGGAGAAAAAGCAAAACAAACAAACAAACAAACTCACCAAGATTTGTACATGATTTTCCCCACTGCACGTATTTCAGTTCATAATAGCCCTGGAGTTTTTTCCAGTACTAAATAATTTTTACAATATATTTCTTGTTGTTTTCTCTTTTTGCTTTTTTTTTCCTTATTTTTCCTTACTGAACATAAATCAGACCCTTAAGTCAAAGCTTGAATCATACAAATTATTAGCAAAACCTTTCCATTGCCCTTATATTTTGCACCATGTTTTCAGCAATATGCACTTTTAGATTTCAAATTACATGAACATGTACATGAATACTGCAGAGCTGGGAGCACTCAGAATTTCCCTCATTCTGGTTTTACTTGAACATGCTATGTCAACAAATGCTGTTCTACTAAGAGGCACAACTTAATGACAACTCTCTGTTACATAACCTTCACCTCCCACTGAGCAGGGTCCAGAATGCCTGAAGCTTCTTAATCCTAATGTAAAGCACAAACAGTTTCTAAGATAAAGTATCTAGTAGTGGGGACATTTTCGGAGCAACTTTTGCAAATAAGAATCAAGGTCACTTTGAGTTCGACACTGAGCTCTTTCCGCGTTTCCTATTCCAAGCAGATTGAAAGAAAACTAATCAAACAAGAAAGTAGCTTTTTTGGCAGCACTCAGAACTCCAGCTTTCAGTTGGAGGTGAGAAGTGCAGTACTGACAAAGAGGAACGGATGTATTTCCAATTGTTTGAAGCTCAACAGCAACTGCTGGGTTCAAGTTAGAAGGGTTGTGCCCATTTTATCTGAATTGCTTTTGCCTGTTCCTAGTGACCCTGTTTTAATATGCACTTATTTTCCTGTATTCCAGGACACCTAGAAACTTAACATCCCTCAGACTGCTTCGACAGCAAAGTGGTTAATGTTTGAAGAATGAGTCATTCTTTCCTTTGCCATGACATTGGGTTCTTATTGTACAACCCTGTACAGTACTCAGCAATATTTTTTTAAAGATTTAAAAAGCAAAGAGTTACAAAACCATTTGCAATTAACTTGAAATAGAAAAGATAGCACTTTTTTTTTTAAATCCCATTATATAGTACACCGTATAAATTACAGAGTATTCAAATGCATAAATGCATCTGTGTAACATTTATCAAATGTAATTTTTTTTTTCATTATTGTTGGGGGGTTTATCTTTTTCTAGAGTTTTTTTCTCCTTGTCCTAGAGACCCCCATCTTCCCTCACTATCACGTATGACAGTGCTCCAGGTCTGAGACGTTGCTGTTGCAGTATCGCATGTTGTTGGGGATGTGGCAGTCTGTGTAGTTAATGCCCCCGTTAGGGGTATAAATGGGCTGCAGTCTGAAATCTCCTTTAAGGAGCTGATCATTATTTAAGGAGACAATCTGGAAGCTGGTTTCCGTCATCTCCAGGATGGAGTTGTCCTTCTTGGTCCCTGCCTCACAGTAGTCATCTTTCCGACGGCCCCGGTTATATTTCCACTTCTGGGAGGTGTAACGACCTTTTTTGTGCATGTGCCAGCAAAAAATGCTGAGCAAGACCATGAGGACAAATATCACTGCACCCCCAATCAGCCCTGCCAGCAGAAATGGGGAGCCTAGGTTCTGAGAAGTTGCCTGTTCATGGCTGGAAGGGATGTTGCTGCCATTCAAAAAGGAAGCCTTGGTTGTGGCTTCTGAACAGACAGTGTCTTCTCCAGTTCGGTAGTTGTTATAAGTATCCAGTGGAACCAAACAAATCCGGTAAGTGGATTTGGGCTCCAGATTTACCAAGCTTGATTGCTGCTTCTCACCACTAATTATTCGTTCATGAACAATTCCTCCTACCAGACTATGGCCCATTTTAACCCATGTGAGTTTATATGCCATCACTGAAAAAAGTGACATCCAGTTGACTTGGATGCAAGTGTCATTCACAAAATGGATGGAGAGCTGAATCCATTCAGACAAAGGAGGTGTCACCCTTTCTCTGTCCTCTCTGTCAGGCACAGTGGGGAGTGTGGCAATAATGGGAGTGAGAGGATTATATTTACTACTTGAGGGAGGAAATGATGAGCTGGGAACTAATGTAGTTGGCATGGTTGTAGCTGGGACTGGGGTGATGATAAGTGGCAGACCAGGGGTGGTGGTAGGGCATGACAACATATTCATATTGAGCTCCCTGACTGCCATACCTCGGACCTGCTCTGGTCCCTGGCACATAAAACCCCGTACATTGATGGAAGCAGGAATAAATTTGAGCCATTCAGTGACCCACTTTATGCTGCAGTCACATAACCAGGGATTATTCCTTACAGTGAGTTGTCTCAGGTTATGGAGATTATCAAATACTCCCTTTGCCAACATCCGAAGTTGATTGTTGGAAATATCAAGACGTTCCAGTTTGTGGAGGTTTGAAAAGGCTGTAAGTGGTATATGGGTTATCTGGTTGTCCTGCAAGTAAAGTCTTAGCAGATGTGTACCTGGAAGATCGGGAGGAGGGTAAGTCAGTGAATTCCGAACTATTGAGAATTCCTTGAGCTTGGAGAGGTGGCTAAAGGTGCCTTCAGCTATGCCTTTATTAGTAAGGAGATTGCCATCCACAATCAGACGCTCCAGACTTGTAAGATTCTGGAAGGCCAGGTCTGAAATGACAGCGATCCGGTTTTCATCTACACGAAGTTCTTGTAAGTCCAGAGGAAGGCCTACTGGCACACTGCTTAAGTGATTCTTGGACAAGAACAGAAGCTTGAGGCTGATGGCTTCCTGGAATGCCCCATCCTCAACACCAACAGTGGAGATGGAGTTGTCATCCAGATGCAGTTCTTCCAGCTTCAAAAGCTGAGCAAGAGCAGCACGTGAAATAGTCTGAATGTTGTTTTCCTGCAGGTGGAGAACCCTGACATTCTTGGGCAGGTTCATGGGGAATTCATCCAATTGATTGCCATACAGGTAGACTGTGTGCACAGACTGGACATTGTGCAACTCTGCAGGAAATCCAGCATTATTAATTTGGTTATTATGGAGGTAGAGGACGGTTACACCCTCCGGTATCCCAAGAGGCACTGAGGTCAAGCTTCGTTCATTACAGTAGACAAAGTTTCGGTCACAGCGGCACACTTTTGGGCAGGCCAAAGTTTTGGAGACCTGTATGTAGAGCCCCAGGGAAAAGATAAGCCATGATTTCATGAGAAGAGCCCAATCTGTGGGCCACATTTTAATCCACGAACCCATTTCTAATTTAAAGAAATAAAGTACCAAATTGTTTAGGAACTGATAACAATAATAACACACAGGTAACAAAATCGCAGGTCATTAAAATTGGCTTCTATTTATGTCCAGTGTTCAGGCCAGAGTTAAAGTCCTGGAGGATAACAATAAAATAATCCTTTTATAATTGGCCTACCTCCTACTTTTGATAAGGAAAACACAGTCTTATTAGCCAGGGTTACAATGTTTGTTGCCTTCCTCCATGTGTGCTGAAAGAACCAGTTGCCATGTCTTTGCACTTGAACAACAGGTTACTTTAAAGCTACCAAAAGTCTTTGTGGTTGGAGGGGTATTTCACTGAAGTCTGTTGGTTTCTGTCAGCTTTCTGAAGTCAGCAAAGTCCTCATATCCGCTATCTGTCAGATGTGGCCTGCCTGTAAAAGGAAAGAGAAAAGAAAAAGCTGAATAGCATGAAATGTTTAATAGGGAAGATCAAGCCCATTAGAAGACTATTCTAAGGTTGAGCTCTTTATGGATTTCTGAGAAAAAAAGGGAAAAAAAGGCATTAATATTAAACATTAGCTTAATATTACTGTTAAATAGTCTTGAAATAGATTTGATGCAAAGTCATTGCAAAGACTGAAGGATTTTCAGTGACGTTAGTGAAGGCTAGATCTATTACTTGCACTTGCATACTATACCTCCAGTCTTTGTCCCCTCACAGTCTGTTTAAAATTCTAGAACTGAAAACAACCCCAAACCTAAACCATTTAACTGGAAATTTTTGCTCAGGTAATTATTTTTCTTCTGCAGAACCACTGACTTCAATGACTGCTATTCATTGATGCCTGACAGAGCAGACTCTGGGCTGTATTCTTTAATCACACTCCATGTTTTTTCTCATTTTCTACCAGACTCTGGAATATTCTGCCCTTATTTCTGTAATATCATTGCATATATTGTCCAAATTAATTCACGCTGCCAGATTATTGTACCTTGCTCTAGTGAATTAGAGCCTTATGAGGAGAGTCTTTTAAACAAGTATGGTACTCCATGAATGTAACATACCCTGCTGTAAGACATATATTTGCTAAAACTATCATCTTGATATTGGTTCTGATGTGAACTGTGCTGTCAATAAATTTCACAACTTGCTCTCCACTAAATGAAACAGGCTCACATCTGCTAAGTTATTGTTTTAGGAGATCAGCTCAAATGATGGCAGTTTTGCAGAACACTTCCTTTGAAACCATAAAGGTTAGATATGGCTTTTAATTTTGCTACACAGTTATCTGTGAATGACTACATAAACAAGTATGTTAGCTTTACTATAGTTGAGCTCCTTAATGTGTATTTTCAGCTTGCAAGCATACTTTTGTGTTCTCAGCTACTATTTATTATCCAGATCTATAACTAAACATTCCCACTCTCTAAAGCATGCAATGAAAGATACTGTGTTGTTTGATGCTATCTTGTCTTGTTTTATGTTGTTGACAATGATTGTCGTGCCCCCAGCCCCCCCATGTATTATACATAGTTGACCTAATGAAGGATATCAACCTTAGCAAGTACAAAGAATGTGCAGATTTCAGGGTCTTCAATTGCAGTGACATAAGCACAGAATATTTCCAGGTTTTGTTTATCCAGATCAAAACTCAGGCTGGGATTTCAACAAAATAGAATTTTAGTGAACAAAAATCCTGTTTCAAAATGGTGTTTTTTCCCCTATTATTTATTTTTTATTATTATTATAGTTATATTTATTTAAACAATTTAAGAACATCCAGGTCATTCAGAAAGAAATTTACTTTGATCATACATATCAGTTGTTCTTCTGATAGAGCTGTGCAATTTATAACATGTCCCTGATGCTACTTTTGGGAGTCCTATGGACTGGTAGTGTAGAAAGAATCCTTAGGAGACAAACTGTTATAACCCTTCAACCTTGCACTTGCAGATTTCTGTATTTCTTTAGAGCATCATCAAGGTTCAAACAGTTGCAGATAAAAAAGTGAAACCGTGAAAAATCCTGTTTATTATTAAAAATTCAAATTTTAAAAATATAGATATGTAATACAGCCTTTTATAGAAACAGTAAATTAGGTACCCCACTGTTCATGGTTTTCTCTCTCACAGGCATATTTCAGTCAAGAGTGATTTCTTTTCAATTATGCCAGATGATGTGATACTGTAGAGAAACTCTTAACAGGATTACATCCTAACATGAGCCTAAGTGTGACAGTTTATCTGCCTCTAATACGGCCTGGCTCCCATCTAGATCACAGTGCTCTGATCGGTCATGACACTCTCTTTTAAAATGAGAATGGATATGCAGCGCATCCTCTGAGATGCTTGGGACCACACAGAGTAATAATAATTGTTATTACTCTCACTTTTCCATCATCATCAGAGAGAGACAGCCTGTACATCCTAACAGATCCAATACCTTGCACTAATCTCACTTCCCATTGTAAGTCCAGTTACTGATTAGGTTTTATTTCACTCCCGGGTAAAACAGAAAGCCCAGCTCAGAACATGCAGCCACAGGCAGCTGCAGCTCCTGGTTTGCTGGGAACCTTCTAAGAACAAACTGTCATATTAAAACTGATTTATGCATTCTAGTACTCTGTCCAGTGTACCTCTCACCTAAGTAGATGTGGCACCTGAATTAAAGATTTCAGTAATGATTAAAAAACTTAGGTGAAGCACACAGCACTTCTCATTAGATATTACAATAAAAAGAGCTTTGATTGGACAGTCACTTAAGCAGATTCTGGAGTTTCTCTTCTTATTTTGTTACATGGATTTTGCTTTCAGAAATCTGTTAAAACTTTCCTAATGTTTTCTTCCCTCGTGATGGCAAGAAAGGTAGTCCTCTTATAAATGCCACTATCCTAAACTCTAGATATCAGTCCTTAATAAACTGATACAATAAAAATCAGTAGAGATTAACGTATTTGGAACCAGACTTGATCATACTAAGCAAGAGCACAAGGACATATCTAACTAGATATTTATGACTTCAGGGTTGACAGTGGTGTGGCTGAGGTAAAGAATGAGGAAGCAAGGATATAACTAAATGTATTTAAATAACTTTTTTGAGAAGGGGTTTACTTCAGTAGTCTTTTACAACTGCTTAATACTAGCTTAAAAGAGGGCTGATAGTTGCTGTATGTTTCAGCATATCTCAGGGACCCTAATGGAAAAATGAATTCTGTCTCTGTGTCAGAAATCTCTACCCCAAAAACATTAAAGAGATTGAAGAGCTGTAAACCTATTTGATTAAAAGCAAAAGAAACTCTATGAAGGAAAACCATCATCCATAAATTCCAAAAGGCTAGAAAAGTGTAAACAGTTTTTCCTTCAGTAAACATCCAAAACTGAAGGCAGGTAGAGTCACTCGGCTCACCCCCATCCCCCCACTCCCTCATTCCTGGCATGCTGGCTTCCTAAAGCAAACTCTCTTTTCAATACAACTGCAAATATTAATTGAGTCTCTCTGCAAATTTACTGATTTTTTCAGAAGTAGAGATTTGGAAGTGGAGGAATTAAAGTTATTGTGATTGTAAATCTTAGGAGTTGACTGACAAGCCATAGGTGGCAGTAACTTTGCTTATTTGAAATGAGAAAGTTCTATAAACCAATGTAGGTAGAGAAAAAGGCAAGTGCCACAATTAACTTAAAATTAAAGAAATTGACAAGCAAATGCCTCAATAATAACACATCTGTCCACTACCAATTTGGTAATTTTTGTTTCTATTTCCTCCCTTGTACACTTGTTTTCTATTATTTCTATTATATAGAATACTTATACTATTATATATAGTATATATACTTATTTCTATTATATATCCTCCTTAGACACAAGTTATATCTTCCAAGTGGGTAAGACATTTCCTACCTTACTTACAGGTTATTAAATCCCATTAGGATTTAAGGAATGATACAATGGAGTTAAGAAAACCATATTGAAATAGATGAGGAAATATCATGTTTCAGGTGACCAAGTCTGAAAATTTGGCTTAGTAGTTCCTGCAATCAATGGAAATACCTATTTTCATAACTTACAATGCATTCCTGATCAACATTTTTATCTTTCAGTCTTTTGTCAAACCTGCCTTGTTTAAACTCCCTTTTGGCATAACTGATTCTAGCTGGAAAATAAAAAATTCTGGCTTTATGTACTGGATAAAAGATATGGTGTTTTAATTAAAGATAATTTAAAGGTTGAAACATCTGTCTGCAAGTTGGGAAGGTGAATTCTGTTTTTTTTTTTTAGTTGTACTTTTACTGGTCAGAATCCTCCATAGACTTCCAGCCTTTGTCACCCTGCTGTGCATAGCCATTAAATAATTAATATATTACTGAAAATTATGTTCAATTATAGATTTGTGGCATCTAGAGGAAAAAAATCAACTCACTAGTAGTCTGCTTGTGGAGCTTTTTCCTACCTCACTGACAGGCATACTGCCTCAGTGGTTCTGCCTACACTGTCTAAAGAATCTCCAAAACTTCTCTTAGAACCATCTTTTCCATTTTTCATTCTGCAGTCTCCCAAACGGGCGGTCAAGGTCCCTGTGGCTACCTGAGAACCTCGTGATATTCAGGGAAGATAACAGAGAATAAAGGGAGAAGATAGCATATGGGGCCAAGCCTGCATATGAATACTTACAGCCCTATGTTATAAGCACAGAGTTTTGAAGTGCTCCTAAAGCCAGGCTGTCTATCTTCATTAGCCTAACTATGGTTTACATTAAGGCTATACATTTTTTAGAGATAATAAAATTAGGAATATTTGGCTATTCTTTCATTCAAGGAATCCTGAAAATAACAAAAAAACAGGTCAAAGGAATCCAAGGCCTTTTTTACTCTGATAGTCTAACCACTTAGCACCACTTTTCCCAGCAGTTCTTCCATCTATCTGGACCTCAGTGCCACGTAAATTGAAAAGCAACCAAAACCAAAACCAAATGGTCATACCTATTCTTTTCACTATTACCAGTCAGTGACTTATTTAGCACTAAACCATTTGGCATAGATTTTCTTGGCTGTACTGCAGACCAGGGTTATAATCAAGTCATAATCTTACTCTACATAATTATAATATACAGTAAGTACAAAGCTATTATGTCTGGAATTGAATGACAAACAGAAAACAAATCTAATTCCATTCGTATAAAATCTAGTACAGAGTTCCTCGTTCTTAAGAAAAATGTCCCTGTGTATCTTTCAACTGGTAACAAGAAAAAACACAAAATACTACCTGACAAATGCCTTTTTTCCATATAAGTAAGTTTATATCTGTGAGTGTATACATTAATTAATATCCTGGTGTTTTGATTTTTGTGTTTTGGTGTTTTTGGTGTTTTGGTTTCTGGTTTTTTTTTGTTTGGTTGGTTGGGGTTTTTTTTGGGGGTGTTTTTTTTTTGGGGGG